GATGTCCTTGAGTTTCATGCCTATGTTTTCTTCTATGCATTTTGTTTCACTTCTTATATTCAGACCCTTAATTCATTTTGAGTTAATTTTGGTGTGTGTGATAGACAACAGTCTAGTTTCATTCTTTTGCAGGTAATCTACCAATTTTCCCAGCACCATTTATTGAAGAGCCTTTCCATTCTCCACTGTATGTTTTTTTTTTTTTTGTTGAAAATTGTTTGCCCATATAAATATAGGTCTACTTGTGGACTCTTGATTCTGTTCCACTGGTCCATGTGTCTGTTTTGCTGCCAATACCAGGCCGTTTTGATTACTGTCACTTTGTAGTATAATTCAAATTCAGGCAGAGTGATGCCTTCAGCCTCATTCTTTTTTCTCAGGATGGCTTTGGCAATTCGGGGTCTTTTCTGTTTCCATACAAATTTGATGATGTTTTGTTCTATTTCTTTAAAAAATGCCGATGGGATTTTGATGGGGATTGCATTAAATCTGTATAATGCTTTATGTAATAAGGCCATTTTAACTATGTTGATTCTTCCAATCCAAGGACACGGAAAATCTTTCCACTTCTTTGTATTTTCTTCGATTTCTTTTAATAAGGTCTTACAGTTTTCATTATATAGGTCCTTCACATGTTTCATTAGATTTATTCCTAGGTATTTTATTCTTTTTGGTGCAATTGCAAAAGGAATTATTTTTTCCGCTTCTTTTTCTGACACTTCATTATTAGAGTATAGGAAAGCTATGGATTTTTGAACATTGATTTTGTATCCAGAGACTTTACTGTATTTGCCTATTGTTCAGTAGTGTTGTATCCAGAGACTTTACTGTATTTGCCTATTGTTTCCAGTAGTGTTCTTGTGGGTGTTTAGGATTTTCTATATAGAGAATCATGTCATCTGCAAATAGTGACAGTTTGACTTCTTCGTTTCCTATATGGATACCCTTTATATCTTTCTCTTGTCTAACTGCACTCCCTAGGACCTCCAATGTTATACTGAATAACAGTGGTGATAGTGGACAGCCTTGCCTTGTTCCTGATCTTAGAGGGAAGGTTTTTAGTTTTTCACTACATTCACATTTTTAAAGAAGAGATGGCTTTCATGAAAGTGACATACACAGTGAAATTAAAAACCTCTTCTAAGATGCTCAGTTAAAATTGGGGAGGGGGTGAGAGAGGTTACAGAAGATATATTTAACTCTGAAACTTTAAAAAATATCAGTTGTCAACTCCAGTCTACTGATCTATGTTTCAAAAAATAAGTTTTACTAAAATTACTAAGCAAGCTCTGTGTAAAGGTTTCACAAGTATGAATACTTAAGGAAGCATTTGTGGTTAGAAAGTTTATACAACCACAGTTAGCCTATTTGATAGCAACACTAAAATATTAGCCCAAAATTATTAACAAAAATGAGTCAAAAATTGACAAATATGCCCCGCTTAATGGATGTAATGCTATTATTCTCATTTAAAATATAATATGTAGAATGTAATTTTATATCATGTTTATGCTGTATTTTCAAATACCAACATGGTCAATTTCAATAAAATCAATCTAAAACTAAAAGAGTGTGAAATTCAAGTTCTTGACTAAAGAAGTTTTATTAAGAATTAGCATACAGTGGTGATGGCTGCACAGCATTATGAATATAATTAATGCCATTGAATTGTATACTTAAAAATAGTTTAAATGGCAAATTTTATGTTATATATTTTATCACACACACAAAAAAACATACAAATGGGGGAAAAAGAAGAGTTAGTGTATTTTGCAATTATGTACTCTTTTTATATAGTCAGTTCAATATTTTTTGGTACTTAGATAATTCATATTGTATAAGGCTAAAATATAACAGTTAAAAGTCTTTACCCAAATTTCCATTTCAAAGATTAATCATACGACAGAAATTCTAAAGTAAAAAGTTCAAACAGCTGGTATATTCCAAGTATTTGAGGTATAACAGTTAAAAGCATTTTAGATTAAACAGTCTCACAACTCCATTGCTCCTTGATGTTTTTCTTCAATTATCATGCAATAAGAACATTTATGGAATCTAGGCTATTTCTTAAGTCAAAATTTAATAAAAAACCCAATTTATCTATTAAACATAGGTAATTCAGGAGTTCAAAAGTCACTCGACATTTTTAAATAATCATAATCCAACCAACCTTTTTTTTCCTCAGTAATCTTTCTCTGAATTTATTAGTGATAAATCCCTTTGAACCAGTGAAACGTAAACGCTGATATTTAGCCTGAATGTACAAGCTCTTCTGTATTAGGCCTGATTTATAATGGGGCTGGACTATGCCATCTCTAAAGTTGGTCTGTAAAGGAAAAAAATAATTAAATGTCAAAACTATTAGCTTCGAAATCTACTTTATTAGTATAAGAAATGGAAAAATGTGTGGTACTTAGAGCGGCCCTTGATATTAAAAGGGAAGAGGTTAATGATGGTAATAAAGTACATTTTCCTCAAACTAGCTTCATTTCTTATTTTATATAATATACATATATATTTTTTAAATTTATATAAAACCAATTTTTAAAACTGTTAAGCTAAAAAAAATTGAAGTTCTTGAAATTTATCATGCTAAGAAAAATATAACTTTCAGGTATTCCTGTCCGTACCTTCAAGCCAATCTTTTCTAACATAAAAGTTCCATTACAGTAAATATTTTCAAGATAAGAGTTATACTTGAAAAGACCATTTTCTGGCCTGCCTATGCCCAGTATTACAATAGATGTAAGGGGACAATGAATATTTCTGCGATAACAAAGGGTATGTCATGCATAACGAAGCACATAAGTTTATAAAAAGTATTTATGCCAGACCTATTTTCCAATTTTCTTAAGGCCACAAAAGAAATACAAGTAAAACAGAATTATAATGAGACTATAATTTTGTTGAAACTATCTACACAAAGTTGATACATCAGAGGTAATCTTGAGATTTTACACTTCCATTTTTAATATCCGATAAGGTGATTACTATCTGGCTTTGAATTAGTCCAATTAATGTAAAAAGTAAATTTTTATGAAATAGCTCCTTTTCTTAGGAAGGATTATTTCCTTCTTCTATTTTACTATAAAGAATTGTGAGCTTCTAAAAAATCATATAATATTACACAGCTTCAAATGAATGGCTAAGAATTATTGCATATATTTTGAAAAAATTTTATAATTAATATCAAAGAACTTTCCATTAAGGAGAAAGGGTAACAAGAAATAGATCTTATAACTGTGAGAAAATATTACAATCAAGTATATCTGACCAATGTTTAGAGCAACATGTAGGAAGCATTTAAATCTGAAAGCCCATTTATACTATCTCTAAGTTATACAGATATCACATTTTCAGTTAATGATTTTATGCCTCAAGATATTAAAAGATGGTATGAAACATATTTATATATTCTATGGCCATAGCTATTTTTGAAAATCTAACGTCACACATGTTTTTAGATACGTGAACCACTGACTAAAAATGTTCTCTACTCGATGCCTACAAATTGTGTTGCTCCTAGTGGAAAAAATTCTTCTGTCATTTAAAAATTTTGACTCTCAAGAAGCCAGGCATTAGTAGAACACTCAGCCACCCTCCTAGTCTACAGCTCAGGGATAGTTTATATCACCTTTCTACTAACTTCCTACTAATGAGCTAACAGAGCTAACAACTCTATGCAGCCTGCTTGCTGCTTTCACAAAAAAAGCTCAGATTTTTTCTTTTCTCTCTTTCTTTTTTTTTGTTTCTTTCTTTCTTCCTCTCTCTTTTTCTTTCTTTCTTTCTTTCTTTCTTTTTCTTTCTTTCTTTCTTTCTTTCTTTCTTTCGTATATCTTGAATTGGGTAGTTTTTTTCATTTTTTATCTTTCTTTTTTCTTTTTCTTTCTTTCTTTTTTTTCTTTCTCTCTTTTTCTCTCTCTCTCGCTCTCTCTCTCTTTTTGTGAGGGAGGGGGAAAAGACACTCTGGAGTGAAAAATATGAATAAAATACCTATCATAAGCAGGAAAATCAATCAAAATAGATTTTAAAAGCACCTCGGCTTCTAAGAGCAAGGAGAGAGAACTACAATATTTCACATTATAATTCTTATTCCACATGTTTGGGCGATGAGGTTTCCTGGATAACCAAACATGTTGGTTGAGTGAAACCATCATTTACATCAGACATGGCTATACACATAATTAGAATGAGATGAAATATGCTAATTTAACAAAGCTTGCTGGACCAGAATCTTTGATAATCCAGAAGACCTCTGAGGGTTGTACATCTATGGGCGGGGTTTTTCAACCTGTGAATCCTGGAGAAGTCTCTATAGCTATGTACTTATATCTTAGAGGTAAAGGAACAGACTTAAGGGGAGGGTTTGGGATCTTGTCTGCCTCCCCACATAAAGCCACTCCATCTGTATCTGTTTCATGTATTTGTATTTAATGTAATATTTGAAAAACGGGTTCTATTGGTAAAAAAAAATATTTGAAATAACATGTTGTAAGGAAAGAGGTGATCATTAAAGTGATTACAGTTAACTATAAATATCCGGAAATACTAGTTTATAGATACTTTTTGAAATATTACAAAAACAGCTTTTAATTTACTAATATTTAGAACATTATGTTCAAAGCATAAACCAAAAGCTGGAATTAAATGGAAAATAACACTCAGTACCTTAAAATGTCTTCTTGTGTTCTGAAGGTTTCCCCTAATTCCAAATAGGTTTTGAGTAGTGTCTTTTCTCTGCATAGTATAATTCTGCATGAAAAAGGTATTACCATGGGTTAATATATCTTAAAGTTTACTTTTAAAACTTTGTTTTACCATTTAAAAAACACATTTTAAATGTAGAGGATAAAGAACACAAAACATGTAGCATATTGCTATAGGAACATACACACATCTTCCTTCACATAACCCATGCTAGTTTGTGAGGGGTTAGTTTAATTTATAAATGTGAGAAGTGTAAAAAAAAAATACTCCTGTGATAACACAATAGGTGACTTTTAGAAAATGGATTATAAATCTAGTATTTATTGAGGCATCCAGAAGAGAAATAAACCCATTATTATCAGGAGTTGCTAAAGAGTTCCCGCTGCCTAAAAAGAAAATAAATTCTTAGCACTGCAGGAGGCAAGTTTTCCTGACTCAGATAACTGATTTGAGTAGATGCTCCTGCCATGACTAGGAAAGTATCAGAAGTCAGGGTATTAAGACTGTAACTATGAAGAACCTGAATCCTTTAATGGGATCAGAAAAGATGGAGTCCATTCTGAAAGATGTTTTTTTCCCCAGAATAATAGTCTTATAACCTCCTATTTATTCCATTTGCTATGGAGTCTGTACCTCTCACAAATCTTCCTCTTTCACACGTTTACCTCTCTCCCCAGTTAAAGAAAAAGTCACATAAAACTCTTTTCATAGTAGTCATCTTGAATTTATACTAAGTCTATAAATTTGAATAAGTGCATAAAGATACCTGTAATGAAATGGACTTTGGGGGACTTTGGGAGGGAGGAGGTATATTTTACATGTGAAGGGATGTGAATCATTAAGGCCAGTGGAAGGACTCTACCAGGCGGTTCCTGATCAAGCTTCCAACCACCCTGACCTTCTAGTATCTAGGCCCCTATGTCACCTCATTCCTTTGAGTATGGGCTGGACCTAGTGACTTGCTTCTTACAAACAGAGTATGGTAGAAGTGATGGGGGAACCTTTGAGATCTTGTTCCCCTTCGTATGTCATCAATTTTGGCTTAAATAAACTCTTATAAAAATTAAAAAAAAAAAAGTGACGGGATGTCACTTCTGAGATTAGGTTACAAACACTCTGGCTTCTATATTTTTACTCATCACTTGCTTGTTCTTATGGAAGCTATTCACGAACTTCCCTATGAAAAGTCAAACCTTTAAAATCAAAAAACCAGATTTGTGGTTAGCAGGCATGAGAGCTCTTACTGGGGTCATAAGAATGTTTTAAACTGTTTTAAACTGAGAAATAAATTTCTATTGTTGAAGCCACTCAGTCATAGAGTAAACTAATACAATTAGTTATTTTATAACCAAAAAAGAAAAAAAAAGAAAAGAAAATATTCGAAAACTGGATTATGGTAATGTTACACATCTTGGTGAATTTATGAAAAATTATTAAATTGTACACCTAAAATAGGTCAATTTTATGGTATGTAAATTATACCTTACTAAAGTTGTTCCAAAAAAGTCTTAAGAAAGCTAGTATTTGCTAAGTGCAATAAAATCCTACTAAATCAAATAAGAGATGACAATTTCTTCTGTCATAATAACCATAAGCCTCAACAGAACCTTAACATTGAACAAAAGAATTATAAACACATACTTAATGAATAGTTACAAACATTATGAAAAATGTTGGTGATCCCTGTACGCATAGATGTATGTGAGGATAGAATGTACAAAATGAAAATTTTGGAATTAAAATCTTACCACGTTACGTTTCTGAATAAATTTTCTAGAATTTGATTTTATAAAACATGAAGTTTTTAGGAATCTATCAACATGAGTATCTTTCAACCTTGAAAAACTGGAAAGCTGATCATCCCTAACAAAATGAGAAAAAATAAAAATCTTTTATTAGTTTACCTTTATGCAACACATAAACAAGAGAAATCAAATTACCCCTTCAGAAATCAAATTAAAGCAGCACAAGAATAAAAATAATCTCAATGATCTATCATTACTAAAATTCCAAATGATAGTTATCAGGATTAAAACCCTCATTTTTCAACAAATTTTATTTAGCTAAGTTGGAAGTTAGCAATAGGGGGAAAACAGTATTCCTTGGACCAGGGTTCTCAATCTGGAGTCCAAGGACAAGTGTCCTGAGAGCTATAACCACTTGAAACCATATGCAGAATGTGTGTTTTCTGGGGGTAGATAATCATTGCTCTCAAGCTTTTGGCAGTCCTGGACCCCCTTTGCTTACAGACTCTTATTGATGAAAGCACCAGAGAAGAAGTGTGTGACGGGTTCAAGGTCTCTACACTGACAGAGCTGGGGCCTCTGATACTGCTGGGTCACAGAAGCAAAGGACAGCTCCCCTCTACTGTCCTCGCTAGGTCCGGAGGCTGCCAAGAGCTCTTCCCGGGCACCCCTACCTGGGAGGGAGGTCCTTCCTTGGGCTTCTCCTCTGACCCCGGGGCCTCATTTTTACAATCCTCGGGGAGTCTTCCCCTGTCACATCTCATATCTCCCCCCAATGCTTCTCATACCTTTCCCACTCCATGGTGAACAAACATCTCACCGCCTCAGCCCTGCTTCAGTCCCTCCCACAGGCCCCTCACTGACATGGGGATAAAAGCCACACTCATCATGACCCCCAAGACCTTACCTGCTCTGTCCCTTACTGCTTCGCCCGCTGCTTCGTTCCAATCCCCCCAACACACACACACTGAGGGTTGGGAACATTCAGCTATGTGTGGTTCCCAGTACACACCACAATCTCTCCTGCTTCTTTCTGTATGTTTGCATGTGCAGTTCCTTCTGCTGTAATTTCCTTTCAACTTAGATCAACTTCAAGATTTAGCTTCATGTGTATCTGTTCCAGGAAGGCTTTCCCAGACCCCTCTGAGGTGGACTAGGCAGCCCTGCTACGTGCACATGTAGCATTCGAGGTCTCCACAAGTATCACTCACGTTTGTAACTGCTGGGGCACCTGTCTGTCTCATCTTCAGAGGAGGCACTATGGATAGTTCGTTTTGTGGCCCCAGCTCTGACCCCACAACCTCATGTGAAATAGCCACTTAAGGTTTTTTTTAATGTTAAAAACAGCCCATGTTCTGTCAAAGTGCTCATCATATGACAGTAAGTCTAGAGAGGAGGGTACAAAGCCATATCATGAAGATAATTTCAATTATTTAAAATATACACATATATGCCCAGAAAAAAATAAATACAGGAAATGTACTAAATATTAACAGTGGTCATTTCCAACTGGTGAAGTTAAGATTACTTGATATTTTTGCTTTTAAACTTTGTTATATTTTCCCAAATGTTTACCATTAGCATGTACTACTACTTCTAGAAACAAAACAATGGACTTTAAAAATTCTCTTTGCCAAGCATATATCTGATAAGATAGTATCCAGAATATATAAGAACTCTTACAGCTCAATAATAAAAATGATCCAATTTAAAAATGGACAAAGGATTTAAATAGACATTTGTCCAAAGAAGACACCCGAAAAGCATATAAAAAGATGCTCGACATCATTAGTCATTAGAAAAATGCATATCAAAACTTCAATGAAATACTACGTCATGCCCCCTAGGATGGCTATAATCAAAAAGATGATAACACTAATGTTCCAACATTCATTATTCGCAACAGCCAAAAGACGGAAACCCAAATGTCCATTCAACAGAAAAATGGATAAACAAAATGTGTATATCCATACGATGGGATATAATTCAGCCCTATAAAAGAAAGAAATGTAGAAAAAAGGAATGGAATTCTGACATGATACGACATGGATGAAAACATACTAAGTGAAACAAGCCAAACACAAAAGGACAATTATTATGAGTCTACATATATGAGTTATCCACAATAGACAAATTTACAGAGATGGAAAGAATAGAGGTTATCAGGGGCTGGGGGCAGGAGGGATGGGGAGTTACTGTTTAGTTGGTACTGAGTTTCTGTTTAAGAAGATGAGAAAGTTCTGGAAGTAGACAGTGGTGCTGGTTGCACGACAATGTGGATGTACTTAATGCCAATTAACTATACACTTTAAATTAGTTAAAATGGTAAAATTTATGATATGTATATTTTACCACAATAAAAAAAATTAAAACCCTTTGGTATCTGATTTGTGATCAGGCAAATGAGTGTCCGGGGTAAAGAATCTATTTCCCAGTCTCCCTGCAGCTAGGCATGGCCATGAGATAAATTTTGACAAATGTTGCTGAAGTGTCACGTGTACATTCCAGAAAGTATTGAAAGGAATGGCTAGAATAAGGACATGAGAGTTGGGGCACAAACACCCATCTTGGACATGAAGCAGATGCCATGTGCGGAGTACATCTGAGGAGCAAGATCTAAGGAGCGTGGGTCCACCCTACCATGCTCTAACTTCCTGCCTCTAATCTTTTTTTTGACGTAAGAACTTTTTCTCTAGCTCTTACAGTCAGTCCATTCTCTACCCAGCAACAAAAGTAATCCTTTTAAAATTTAAATAAGATTATGTCTCTTCTCAGGTGAGAACTCAAAATGTTTTCTAATCTTACTCAGAGTAAATTACAAATTCTTCATGTCCTTCAAGGCCCTTCATGATTTGGCTTTTTCTAACTCTCTTTTTCCCTGTTCCAGCCTCACTGGCCCCTTTCTGTTCCTTAAACAGGAGTAAGCGTGATCCTGCCTCAGGGTCTTTGCATTTGTGGTTTCCTCTTTTGAAATTCTATCCCCTCAAAAAACAAAAACAAAAAAAACAAAAAAAAATTAAAAAACCCTAAAACTCTCTCACATAATTCACATCTCTGCTCAATTTAAAAAACATAAGTGCATTCTATAAGTATCCTAAATAAAATCACGCTACACATATCACACTCTATTTAAGTTTCCTCTCTGCCTTACTTTCACCTATCACTGACATGTTTTTTTTTTAATCTCCTATCATTAAATTGTAAGCTCCATGAGGGCAAGGGCTTCGTGTATAGTTTTTCACTGTATGCCCAGTGCTCACAACAGTGACTAGAACACAGAAATTCAATATATACTTGTTAAATATATGAATAAAAGATCTTTACAAAGTTAACCATAGTTAAGTAGAGATTACAGACGATTATAATAGCAAAAATAAAAACTGATCTTTTCTGTAACCTGCCTAGCTAAAAAGAAAGTCTTGGCAGTTTGATGTTCTCTCAAAGTCTACTGATAATATTTTGAAGCTGCTTTTTGACACACACACACAATGCCTATATAGCAGGGGTCCTCAACCCCTGGGCTGCTACCGGTCTGTGGCCTATTAGGAATCGGGCCACACAGCAGGAGGTGAGCGGTGGGCAAGTGAACAAAGCTTCACCTGTATTTGCAGCCACTCCCAGTGCTGGCATCACTGCCTCTGCTCCATCTCAGATCATCCAGCATTAGATTCTCATAGGAGCACTGGTCCCTGGTGTCAAAAAGGTTGGGGACTGCTGCTCTATAGCACAACACCTCAATAACACTGTAGAGAGAACTTAGTAATGTTAGTTGCAAGAGGTAGAAATAGTGTGTCAGGAGAAGACATGGAGATATTAGGGTAAGAGATTAGTCAGAAGTGGGAGAGAATAGAGAATAGGGTCTTGAAACTAGACAGAATGTTCTAGTGTTAGGCTTGCTTGGGAAAGATTACCTAAGGTTATCAGAGAATATACAATGAGTCAGCTCTAAATCCATTATAATTTCAGTATCCTCTTGTCCTATCTACTTCATTTATTCAACAGCTATGAATTGAGTTCAAGGCATTAGGGATACAATGGTGAGCAAACATATATACAGAGCCTGCATACTTTTCAAGGGGAAAAAAAAATCACACAGGTGGGAGACTGCTACATCCTATGATTTATGATTTCATCTATTTTATTTTCTGAATTTCTATAGAATTCTATACTTCGCTGAAAAAGTTTATGCAAAAAAACTAATGAGGTCAATTTTGATAAACTAAATTTCTAAGATAAAAGGACAAAATAAAAAATTTTCTTATTTTAATAAGGAAATTAAATTAGAAGAAAGCGAGAGATTAAAGGTTCTACATCGCTTTTTTAAAAAAAAAGTTGAACAATAACAAATGCTGGTGAGGATGTGGAGAAAACTAGAATCCTCCATATACTCATACACTGCTGGTGAAAATGTAAAATGGTACAGCCATTGTGGAAAACAGTTGGGCAGTTCATCAAGTTATCACAGTTATCATAGCTATCAATATGACCCAGTAATTCCACTCCCAGGTACATACAGAAGAGAAATGAAAACATATGTCCACACAAAAAACTTGTACACAAATGTTCATGGCACCATTTTTCACAATAGTCAGACAGTAGAAACAACCCAACTAGCCATCAGCTGGTGAATGGATAAACAGAATGTGATATATCCGTACAATACAATATTATTCAGCCATAAAAGAAATATTCATGCTACAACATGGAGTAACATTAAAAACCTTATGCTACATGAAAGAAGTCAGTCACAAAAGGCCACATATTATACGACTGCCATTAAATGGAATGCCAAGAATAGTCAAACCCACAGAGACAGAAAGTAGATTAGCAGTTGCCAGGGGCTGGGGGTAGAGATATAGGGAATGACAACTAATGTCTATGGGGGTTTCTTTTTGGGGTGATGAAAATGTTCTGGTATTAGATAGTGGTTAACAGTTGCACAACTTTGTGACTATACTAAAAACTACTGAATTGTTCAATTTCAAAGGATGAATTTTACAGTAAATAATATCTCAACTTTTAAAAATCCTCATGGTTCTACTATGCCACACCGGCTATCCAATACAAATAAAACAGTCCAACAGACCCAGAAAGACACCCTGCAGGAAGACACATTTTCACACTCCAACGCCATCCTCGAAGCTACCAATAATAATAGGTAATGCTGACCAGCTACTCTGTACCTTACATGAATCACTTTAATCATTGTGAGGTAAGTATAATTTTTTATCTCTATTTTACAGCTGAAGAAACAGAGATTAAGCAAGTTGTCCAAGTTCAGTCACATAGCTAGGGGTCTGCAGAGCCAGGCACTGAACTCAGGTATAATTCCAGCACGCGAGCTCTTAATCATCTCAAAGGGTGAAGATGTATTCTGAACCATTCCATGGTCTTTATAATATGCTAATTATCTCAACTCTGTTTTTGAAATCCTCTTTCTTGGTACACTGAGTTTCTCACACTTGCTGAGTCAAGAAAAGCATGACAGAAAGTTTGTGTCACTAAAGAGCAGAGTCATGTGTGTCATATTAGGAAATTGGAGACTTGCACTCACCAAGGGATGAGATTTTAACTATTTTAATTTCAATTGTTTTATATGCCTCAACGCACAGTTTTGCTATCTTTTAATTAGTCCCAAACTTATTGTCAGAATCAAATCCAGTTTTAAACAAGCTCCATGTATTCTGACTAAGATCTAGTTAGCCACCGACTTGACTTAAAAGTCTAGTCACTACAGCCATGCTACCCTGAACGTGCCTGATCTCGGAAGCTAAGCATGGTCGAGCCTGGTTAGTACTTGGATGGGAGACCACCTAGGAATACCAGGAGCTGTAGGCATTAAAAGTCCATCAAATATCTTAGTAATTCAACACTAAGGACTATGGAAAGGGAATTAGCATTGGCCTTCCTATTCATACATTCCCACTTTCTGGGAGATCTAAATAGTTTTGAGGATCCCTGGGTAAACTGGAAATTTTGTCCCATTCAATTATACATCATAATCACATGAGGTCCCAGAGTTGCCATAAATTCCACATAGTTTTCAGAAGTAGAGATAAACTAGGGCCAACCTAGAATACTCAGAGACCCTGAAAAGAGGTATACGATTGGGAAAGAAAAACAACAATCTACTGACAGTTTGCCATGTACGGCATAAATGCTTTGCATGTGCCAGTATATTTACTTTTCTTAACTCTCCATCATAAATTGGTTATTTTCATTTTATAAAGGAAAAGGCTCCAGAAACTAAGCATATTGCCCAAGAGTAAACAGTTTATAAACTGATAGAGATGGGATACAAACTCGGGTCTCCGGTGCATTTTCTACTACACCTGCCTCTGTTTCAAAGTCCGATATCCATGAAGAGTTCTGAAAGAGAATTGTACTGACTTCAGGAAATTTTGGAATATTCAAAGAATACCAGAATCTAAAGGGCAGAATGTGTCGGAGTTTGAATCGGCTTGAGCCAGTCAACAAACTTGCTGGTCCTGGTTCCTGCTAATATTAAAAAAAGCTGTTACACTCCTCTCTGGAATTAAAAAGACCTGAAACACTCACCTACCCCACAATTTTTGTTGTTTAAATCAAACAGCATATGATGATCACTGAATAACTGAAACATTTTAATAGATTTCACTTAAACATATAAAATGGATTTGAAGGATTTAATCCCTACACTAAAATGAAAATTATCATCACACAAAAAAATTGAAAAATATGCTGACAACAAAAGCTCCCTGATAACAGGATGTTTTTCATCTACTGATTACCTCTCTGCAGCAGTATCTATGTGAAAAATGTGCTCATCTTCATTCTGTAACCGTTCTTTTCTCCTCCTTTCAATGTCATGTCGTAGGTCATTTGGATCTATTACTTTGACCGGAGTCTGAGGAATTTTGACAGAAGACAAACCATTCACATTACTGTTAGTTGCACAAAGACCATATCTAGCAAGAATCTTAAGTAAAAGTCCTACACAAGTTATCTTGTACTCATCTTGCTAACAGTAGTGTAAAATGCTTAAAACATTCTGAGACACAAGAGTCAGAAAACTTTATAACTTTAAACCAGAAATCCCACTTCTGTAATTCTATCTCAAAGAAAAGGCTATATACCCAAATATATTCAGTGTTATATTTAAAATAACAACGAAAAAATGGAAGCAACTTAAATATTAAAAAACTTAAAGGGAAAGGATGATTTCATGGTAAATTTAGGTCAAAAGAATAACGTACAAGCATTTAAATTATTATAATATAGACTATGGGGGAAATAAACATGGAAAAACATTTATTGAAAAAAGTTAATTAAAATTTAAAAAGCCTCAATCATAAAAGGTCATGGGGAGTTCAGAGATTTTACATAAAAAGAGTGTTATTATGGTTTAAGTAAAAAGAAAAAAGCATCTAAAACTGTCTATACTATGATAGTGACTACGTTAAAATGCCAGATGTAAAACTGCAAGAAAAGATGATCAAACAATATTTTGTGTTAAGTGGTTGAATTAGAAGTTTTTTAACCTCTAATTTTTAATCTCTGATTTCTAAAAATCCTCAAATTTCCTATAAGGTGATTACAGTACTTGGATGAGTAGAAATTTTCTAAAAATATCATTGATTCAATAAACTATCTCCATAAGTTCAATAAAAATTGTAACTATTCACAAATTAAAAAATTATTTATGTTTTATTAGAAATGTACTAAAATCTCTCTTCTACAAAAACTCTTGACTCTCAATGAATAAATCATCAGCTTTTTTAGAACTTGATATACTTTTTCTAAAACAAGCGTCAGTTTTCTGCTCCCTGGCTAGTTAGGATAGTTTTTCTAATTAGCAAAGAAATGGGTGGGGGGTGGGGTTGGGGAAGTGTTGGGTGGGAACCACCACACACAAACATGTGACAATAAAAAAATTAAGTATTATTTTGCTAGTTCGTATAGCACAGAATCTTTCATACGTTCTACAATAAACAGAAGGGCGATATCAAATGAAACTAAGTTCCTTTGCATTTATTCCATGTACAGTTTAAAAATATATTCCACACGACTGCTTTGGAAAAAAACAGGTACCAAACATACTTAACAGTGTGAAGTTTTGGAATGAATATTAAATGCTTTACTTTTGCGTTAATCACACAAAGCTGTTGCCCTTAGGGACTGGCTCTCTCAGGGAATATTTTTGTCTTTTATCAGTGTTCTCCATGCAACCTGGCTAATAACTAGAATCACTTGAAGAGCTTTGTAAATTTCAGATTCTTGGGTCTTGACCCTTCTTCCTCATCTACTTTACCTTTCTTTTTTCAATCCTAATCACCTGGTCCCTTTCCTAGTAGTATACCAACAATAAGATAATCTCTCATCAAAAATTGTATTCACTTACCTGTTCTGAATCATATACCACAGTTTGTTTACTCTGAAGCTCAGTCAAAGACATATCTATTCTCCTAAAATAATAAAGGAATATTACTATTAAATAATTATATTATACACTGATACCTTGATTCCATTACTACAGAATGGAATTTTAAATAAAACTGGTGTTTCTTGGAGGAAGCAAAAGAAACTTGCCACCAGGTGGTTTTTCGTCCATGCGGCAGTCACCCAAGACATACATACCCTGTGAACAACGTCATAGTGATGCCTTAGTATTTCTCAAATCACTAGTCTGTGTAACCTTAAACTTTGCTCTGGTGATCTACTGCATTCTTACACTGATTCAACTCAGCTTACAAGACAGGGCGTGCCACCTGCTCAGACAGGTGCGGGTAGCAGAAGACACATGTTTTCATCCGGCTGTCCTCAGAACAGCCATTTCTGATCACATGAAGCAACTCATGATTTCAATGGCTTGACAACTGTCTCTCATTCTTCCAGTGATAACTTCAGTAGGCCATTACTTTAGACACAGCAGAATCAGTCAGGTAGATAAATATTTTCAGAGTCCTGCACATTTAAACAATGTTAGTCAATGGCTTCGATATAACCTATTTCATGAAAGTGCACAGGCCCAGTACCTGCTTGGGTTTGGTCTTGTTTTTGGTAGGAAATGCAGTCCTAGAGCCTAGAGCAAGCCCAGGAGGCAGCACCTTCCCACATCTGTTCTGAGGCTTATTCCCATGAGTTATATGGGCATACAATAATGAAGCATTCATTACCTGTGAATTTCTGGATCTGAATTCAATTTATTTTCATTTACATCTGCAGCTTGTGTATCCTGCAGTTTTGAGAAACGCTCATGTAGAGTATTGTGAGGTGATGGAAAATAATTTGCTGAAAAAAAAAGAAACAAATAGTTTTATCTCGGTGTAATACTGATTATACATAAGCACAGAAAGAAGAGATTATTTACAAAACGTTCAACCTCTTTTCTCTTGGAAACGTGTAGGACCTAAACTTATTCCACAGACTAATCTGTAGTGCTCACGTGCTTTCCCAAGCCCAAGTAATAGTGAAACATCTGACTTATAAACCCAAGGATTCTGTTCCTATTTGACAGGCCTGCTTACTTGTCGGGGAAAAAGGTAGTGGCTCTCTCAAAGTGAGGACCTTCTTCAGGAGAAGACCTTACTATACCTGGGAAGTAAAGATAGTACAGAGCTCTACAGCTCACCTCGAGTAAACGATAACTTCAAATACAACCATGAAACATTTAAACGATTCTGAACAAATGCTGAATGTCATGTTTGCATATCACAGGCCTCCTGATACCATTTAACTTTAACTGAAGTGCATGAAGGCATTCTGAAATCAGCTATGCTACAGGCTTTTGACAGGATAGAGAGAAAGATAATACACTTGACCCATCAGAATGCTACTTAAGCAATTTTTTCCCCTAACTTGCTGTTCCTGTTCTGAGACGATCTAAATTTCTCTGTAATACCAGCTCCCTTTCCGCCAAGAATCACACTTCCTTTGGGTAACAGGGGCTGGAACTGAAAAGGTGAACTGTTTCAGACAAACTTCATGCTTTAAAATAAACATGTGCCTTAGTTTGAGGGATGCAGAGAAAATAACTTATTTTTGAAATATGTTTTTTGAAGGTAAAAGACTAATGCAATTATCTAGTAAGATATATAAAATAAAAATTTTGAAATCTTGAAGGTCTTATTTGTAACACCCACAATTGCCTTATTTACGCAGCATCAGTGAGGAAATTCAGTTACGTTCTACATAACTGAATTTTCCAATTAATGGAAATTGGCCGGAAGTAAAAACAAAACAACTCAATGCAAATATTTAAAGTATTTACTATATTATGCAATTCCCTGATGTCATTAAGTATGCCAAATCAAACTGGAATCTTTTATCGCTTGCTTAGCATCGCCCTCCTGGCACAAAGTCCCCATAATGCCCTCAGGGGCTTTAAGAATATCACCAAATGACCTAGATTTCCAGATTTCTTGAATGTCTTGAGTTTCATTCATATCTGGTTTTCGTTGTTTCTTCCTTCCTGTTCAGTTATCCGTTATTGTTTATTGCTGCTCTCAAGATGCTTGTCTTTTGCATCAGCCAATCTCTTTCTTTGTTACTTTTGTTATTGGAACTGTATATGAAGAATAACTAGGCCTAGGTATCATGGCTGCCTCAAGTCTACTATTCTTTAAAATAATTTTTAAAAAAGAACAACTAGGCTTGAATTAATACCTGCTACTCTCTTTAACACATTTCCTAATTAATGATCCAGCTTGTAATGAAATATTAATTACTATTACAATATTACAGATATTTTTACCTATTATCTTGTGAAAAGTCAGTACATTATTTTTGTGTTATCCCTAATGTATGTGTAAAATATACCAACCTTTAATTTGATGGATTATAGTTATGATTTCCTGAGCAAATTCTCTTGTAGGTTTGTTTTCAGTATTCTGAGTTGAGTCAAGATGTTCAAACACTGGATGAAAGTTCTCCCTTTTCCTGCCAACAGCAACCAAATCATGTGACATCTGTCTCTCTGTGTTGCTAGAAGCAACCCTAGAATAATTTGTAAATGTTTAACTAAATTTGAAACTATTTTACTGAGAAAAGAACTTAACGATTAATCAAGATAGCTATAAAACTAAAAAGATGTTTATCTTTTCTTATAATTAAGGTACTAAATTGTATGCCATAAAACATGTACAATAATGAGTAGGAGAAAAATAGCTATAGATGCATGGTTTTGAGTCTTCCTTTTCAAATTAGAGGTCATTAAATATTTGCCACCTTAATAATAAGATCCTCAAAATCCTAAGTGAAACCATTTTTACTTCAAAATATACAGCAAGGCATTAAATATACTCTTCCATATGCAAAAAAATTAATCAATTAGATTATTTTCTACTCTCAAATGTCCATAAAATTGTAAATCTAGCAAGCTTATACTGTCTTGAAATACTATCACAGTTAAAAAGCTGACATCAAACATAATAACTTTCCTGACTTAAGAGAAATCCTTATACCTCTATAACAGTAATGAGAAGCTTTGAATAGTATTTTGAAACCAAATTAATCATTTAGAAAGTCTCACTAAACTCTCAGAAAATGGTCTTAGTTGTTAGCAAAGTTATGATCATTAGAACCAATTATAGAGTTTATCCTTAAAGACATACTATCATTTATTGTATAACCCCGACTATCTTACCACTTTAATGCTTTCTGAATCTTTATAATTTTCATTAAAAGTTCTCCTGACTTTTAGATACCATTATAAAGCCACAATTATGACATATAGCTAACAAATATTGTGGGCTTACCACATACCAAACACAAGGGCTTAGAGTTTAGAGCATTATCGCATTTAATCCTTACAGTAGCCCTATTAGGGAAAGTGTCATGACACTGAGACAATGGATGTCTTGGTTGTTTCGCTTTATGTCCTTCATATGAACATAATCCTTCCAAGTGCCATAATGGGGAACTATACCTTATTCCAAGAATACCGCTCTTGCTTAAAACTACTCTTAAGTTCTTTGTCTGGAGGTAGTTTATGTGTCACGGATGAAAATGTCTCATTATTTTATATTTATACTTCATTTTGGACCCAAAAAGGCACTAACCAAATTGCACCAATCTTACGCCTCTTCACTTAACTCTAAATAGCTTTTGTCAAAAATCAAGTTCATCATCCAAAGAGATGAGATTAACCACTGCTAGGGATCTTTATGAGTATGTTACAGGCTCTGAAGATAAATCCAAAAGAAAAGCCTGAAATATGTTTTAAATAACAGCAGCACCACTGGAAAAAAAAATGATATAACAAAAACTAGTCAGGTGGATACGTTTTGGGGTGTGGGTGTATGCATGCACAGATATACTTATTTATTTAAGTCACTTAATGGCCATATATCCAAACCTGCTCCAGGGTTATGAGGGGCTTACAGATATCCTTTAACTAAAAAAATATAACTCCTCTAACAAGATGGTTTTAAGTGACTAATTTTAACTTATCAGAGGAAAGGCTTCCATCTGACTTTCCATGCTCCCTGCTCTCAAACCAGTCAAAACAACCCCCTGCCAAGGCAAAAACATGAAAAAGTGATTATGCAGCAGGTTGATGCCACTGCTGTGGAGTCCTGATTCATTAGAAAGACTCTCATGAGAAGGCTCATTTCCCTTCTTTCCTCCTAATTTGCTCCAAGCTTCCCACTGTGTATCTGATAACTAGCTAACATCCACGTAGCGATACACTCTAGAAGCTAGAATGGCCCTGTAATAATCTCCACTAACAAAGAACTACAAATGCTGTTTACAGAGGTTTAATGGTACAGAAAGTCTGTGCCATACGAAAACCAAACCAAAACAAAACAAAAAACCATAGCTTTAAAAAACATTTTACAGGAGAAAAACAAGATGTTTAAAATGAATCACAGAAGAAAATGTCGCATTATTTAAACTATAAAAATAGTCCATCCATAAGGAGAAATCAGTTGATAACGTTTTTTATTGCAGTCTCAAGTTACTCCCAAGAGGAAACCAGCTGATAAAGGCTTCCAGTTTTTCACCAAGTAATTATTAAAATTTATTTCTAATTTATTATTACTGGAATAACATCCCCACTCTATGCCCAACCCTCAGTTCATAGGAGTGCTGTGGTATACACTAAAATTATACTTAATGCCTCAAATTTTAGTGCTTAAACTGATTATCATTTTAAAAATTTATTCTAGTTACCCCACTGCAAGATTTTTAATTTAAAACACTAAAATAATGATTTTCGAGAAATTATACATAAAAATAGCATAACCTGAATTTTAGTCTTTTAAAAACAATTATACTTTTGCCATGTGAAAAACCTGAGAAAGCAAAATGTTCTAAGTATTTACCATTTGTCAATGTAATCACGTTAGTTCAAATTTTCCTTTTTGCTATTTCCTAAGACGTCATTGATCAAATTAACAATTTCAGGAACTACCCCCAAACACAAGTAGTTAAGCTGAAAAGACCAAATGTTCTCATTTTAGATGCATTTTAGACAGTTAAAAAATTAAAATATAGCCAAACACCTATATTCTAATACTGGTCTGATTAAAACTTCCAGATTTCTCGGTTCCCTCCCTCAACCCCTCCCCATTTTTTTTACTCTGTTTATGGATATTTCCCCCTGGTGTTTTCACTGAGCGCTGTGCATAATAACAAAGAAAACATAAAAAGCTACGTTAAACCTTAATTTCTTCTTGTACACAGCTAAAATCCATCAAAAAAAAAAATGCACGGCAAAACAACAGTAAGGAAAAAAAACAACAACGACCAAAACCAATGGATAATCCCCTGGCCTCCGGAAGCTTATTATAGATAACAAAATCCATACAACACAAAGGTTTTCCTTTCTCGGTTTTCTTCCAAATATAACGAACATTTTGTACAGCATCCTACAGTTCATAAAGACTCTCTCAATTATAATTTGTTCATGTTTTCCTAAGAACACTTTTAGAATTTGCGGAGTTGAGGGGAAAATGTTAGGGAGACTGTTACTCCCTTCATTCAGCACCTCTTTACTTGTTTCACGAGAGTTCCCCAACTGGCCTTGCCCACCCCACACCCTTCCAAGTCTCCTCTGGCAGCCAGAACCAAGCCACCTGCTCTCTCCTATTAGCTAATCCTGTCAAATCAGGCTGGCAGTGTGGCAGTCTTATCTTCACAGACTCCTGTATCCCTACTCCCTTTTACCAACACCTTGGAACTACAGAGTTCAAAGTTCCTGTGAGTCATTTCTGTCTTTGTTAACCTAGAAACATAAAATATCTTTCATCTCATCATCACATGTCTAAAATACACCGCAACCTTTGAAGCCTAGCTCACCCGTCAACTCCTGAAAGAAGCCTTCCCTGAATGTCTCAGCTTGAGATCAACGGAGTCACACACCACTTCACGCATCCCTCACTGTGCCACGGTATGACCAACACTGCCCGACTGTCTATAAGACCGGAGGAGAAGAGACCCAATCTTATGGCCATCTATAGTCCAAGGGCACCCTAACAGGCTGTCTCACACAGGGTGGGTCCTCAAAAAATACCGGCTGAATGAATAAATGGAAAATGACTTGGACAATTTGAAATGTGAGTTTCAGCTAAAAAGATGACAGACTTCAAAATTTCATTGAGGCCAATTTGTTTAACTTTCTTGACTTATTTTAAATTTTTCACTTAATTTAGAGCAATTTAAAATTTAAAGATTCTTTTTTTTATAATATAGAACCTCAAATATATAACAAAAGTTCAGGGAATCCTATGATGAGCCTGTCAACCCAGCTTCAACAGTTATCAACACATGGCCAATCGAAGCAGACTCAAGAGCCAGGAGGAATTGCAGGTTAATTTCGGCCCAAAAAGGCATGGCCAGGTGACCTGCCTAATGTCACAGAGCTGCTCAGCGGCCCACCAAAAGACAAAAACCTATGCACTCCAACCCCAAACAGAACGTTCACCTTCTGTCCTATACTAGGACATCTAAGAGATACTAAGAGAAGCTAGGGTGGAAAACAGGAATAAAAAGAAACCTTCTCTCAATTAATTTTTGATTAAAAAATGTATGTGAGAATTATTTTAGGAGAAAAAAAGCCTTACCTTTTTGTGATACATAACAGTGAGGTAGCAGGTTTGTATATGACAAAAATATCTCCACCCACAGCTTATCTTGCCTCCAGCTGAACAGTGCCTATTATAGGTAAACTTGTGTGATTAGGTTACCTTCCTTCAGTCCTCACTATAGTTTTTACATTGTTCTCCCACCTACACCACACACATCCCTTTCCTCAGAACATAAGGGCTCTGATGTCTTCTGGGGCCCATCACCCACCTCTCATCCCCTTTCATAAAAGGTAAAGATCTGATGGGGGTGGGGAGGCCCTTTTCGGATCTCTTGAGTGGAAAATAAAAGGGTTAAATATAACTGTGGCCAGTACACTCAGTCCAACATCACTTTGCTAGCCAATCTTTCCAGCCTGGATGCCCAGTACCAGCACCCGGGGAGGTCAGAGGAGCCTCGGATCCGTCTGCACCAGCTTATTCTTCTCCAGAAACTGGTACCCCCTGCTCCTCCCTCTCACTTCCTTCCTAGCCTGACCAAGGTTCAAGCTCTCACCTACTGTGCCCAGCATTAACCAAAACTCCCTTTATCTGCCCCAAGACTCCAAGATATATACAACAGTTAGTGTTTGGAGTTCATAAAAACCTTAGCGCACAAGCATACACAAAAACCCTTAGCACAAATTTTCATACTGTGACTCCCTAACTTACATTCTGAAACGTATGACTCATATGTAACCGCTACCTCTGATAATGCAGTTTCTGATAAAGCGGATCACTAGAATATGGTCTTCATTAATAGAAGTATTAGCTACGCCATAAACATTCAAGCAAGCATCTACTGCTGCTCTAGATACAAACTGGAACCTTAAAAAATCACTAGGTGATAATCATGTTTTCAACTACATATATTGATATTTGACCAAAGCTAAGAAAGTAAACAAATGCACAAAATGAACCATCTTAGTCTTTCCAAAAAAGTGGATAAACTCTCTAGATTTTAACCAATAACTAAACTCTCCACTAGCATTATTTTAATCTTTTCAAGCAGAGTAAAATTTAATTTATGTTAATAGCTGAGAACATGACTCTATTGAGGGCATTAACTACCTTTGTTTTATGCATAGCATATGCATAGTCCATCAGTCCATATACATAATTCAATCCAACCCCACAAAACTCTTCCACAACTTATTCATCAGTAATTGTAATAAGAAATATTTTGTTGTCTATGATGCTTTGCCATATGGAAAAGATGCATATGTTATTAAGTTATTTATCATTCACGGTTTAAACAGAAAGGATTTACAATGGAAGCTCTTTATTTCATAAGCCATCCTACAGATCCTTGTCAGGGAATTCAAACATGTGCTGACAGGCCCCACTGACAGGGCATAAAACTTCACAGAATTATAGTTTATAAACTCACATAAAAAATACAGTAGCCTCAATTTTAGGAAGCTCACTTTTGTGACACATGATGATCAAGCTTCCATTTCTCAATATCGAATTATAAAATTAATTGTGTTCAGTATCTTTAAAATAAAATCCTTCAAAATTGGTATTTCTAGTACTCTTTAAAAGTGCCACAGCCAATTTATTAGCTCTCTTTTAAGTATAAAACACTTCATTATTAAATGGGGGTATCATCCCTTTTATAAAAGAATTTGAGATTTTTTTCAATTTAATTGTGTGTAATTTTACCTCAAAATAAAAAAAATCTATAAACAAAAATTATATACTGAAGTATTTAAAAGGGAAAGTACTGATACCTGCAATTCATTTTGACATGCATCAAAAAAATAAGATGGAGTGACAGACGAATAGATGGGCAGATATGTGATGACAAAAGTAAAATAAAATGTTAATTGTAGACTCTAGGTGGTGGGTATATAGGTGTTCACTGTACATTTCTTTCAACTTTTCTGTATATTTGGACATTTCCATGATATGTTGGAAAGAAAAAAAGATTAACATCCCTAAACTTGATGCTTACAGCAGCCTTTGTGCTCTTAAGATTTAGAACTAGAAGGAAATAGCACAAAATGATTTAAGACACAGTATATGAAATAGGACACAAAATTAACACAGTATTATGACAACCATGTAAAAGGATTATGGGTTATTTCCTCACCTCTATTTGTTCAACTTTCTGTAATATAATCATAATTGTAAATGTTTTCAGTGCACATATAAATATACATATGTATATTTAAAAATATTTTTTCAAATACAACGAATGTAAAATGTCTAACTGATGTACTGTATACTTGAAACTAATAAAAAAAAAGTATATACAGGGACTGCCACACCTAACTTTAAGAAAAGGAACAAAATATATTTTGTTTAAAAAAAAAAAAAAAGGACATGGGTTCGCCTCCCTCCCTGTCATGTCCTAACCTTGGATTTTGTTTTCTCTTGTTTTTGTCAACTGTGAACACGAATGCACCAAATCGACATGGTCCATCGCTTTTTTAATTCACATACTGGTAATGTAATAAGGTAATGAACAGACTTAGCTGAAATAGCCAACTGCAGTGCCTTATTATCCTCAGAATTCAGAGAGGTAATATTCATCATGGAAGAAACATGCAAACCTCTTTAGGAGAATATAACCAATTACGACAGCAGTCTATTTTTTAAAGAATCATTAAGAGCTAAATCAAATGTCTTATAAATAGGCCTCTTTCTAGACTCTAACCTAATTTCCTCTACCTAAGAGAATCTAGTCAGTTGAGCACAAGTCATTTTGAGATGGCGGCAAGAACCACGTTAAGTCACCAGCCTCCTTGACTCATAAGGGGACAGACACATGGATTTGAGACCCAGACACTCTGACTTAGATAAGTCACTTCATTCATGTCTCAGGGCTTCATTCTCCTGCTCTATAAAATTGGGGACTGCTAAGGTCCCTTCCAGGTCAAAAATTCTCTGAAACAGGCAACAGGGAAATCATTTATAAAAACATTAACAAAACAGGCTCCGAGAGAGTGAGCAAGAAATAGGTTCCTTGAACTCCACCCAGCCTATCCCTGGACACAGAAAATCTGGCAGTATAAAAACACACAAATTCATGAAGAGGAACAACTCCATAGAATGATCTGCCCCCAACAAGCACCTTCAGATGCAACGTGGAAACAAGCGGACATGAGATCACCTCATATTACCAATCATGGGATTCATCCTCATTACAGGGCTTTTTTGAAAAGCATCTAGGCCATCCCTCTCCCCTCGATGGACTCTAAACACACGATTAATTCCATTTTCAAAGCTTCAAATAAAGGTGGCAGAAAGTTATTAAATATCATTAAGAAAAAACAAAAATACCTGGATGTATTTTCTGTTTTCTTCATATCTATTTTAACTGTAAGTAATTTCTTTTTAAGAATGGTAGGTGAAGGCTTCTCCTCGGAAAGTTTACTTTCATCAAGTTGGTTGCTGGGAGAGTTGCTCTCTCTTCTGTCATCCCTTTTCCTTATTTTGTTCTTCCATTTGTCATCATAGGGTCTCAGATCAGCATCATTTTTATTTGAATGAGTATAGGCAGTGCAGTTTTTCAGAGATGGTTTAAAAGGTTCTTTGACTTGCCCACTTTCAGTCTCTCTCCCTCTTCCAGCATTAAAGCAACTGGACTCTCTATTTATAGAGCCTTTCAGAGAACTGTGTTTTCTATCTTCCTCTGTAGAGTACTTCTGAGTTCTTCCATCAGAAAAGCCCTGGTCCTCATCTGAGGTCTTATGACGTTTGTAGCGATAGTCATTGGATACCCTGGTTGCTGAACTGGTCTCCGAGGTTTCCCTCTGAAAGTGTCGGTGAGCTTGGGGTGAAAGATTCCGCTGATCTTTCTTCTCTTGGTAAGGCAGAAGAGAATGCCTGGACTTCCACTGCGGATTTCTGGCAGACTCTCTGTTCTCATACCTCTCCATGTCTGTAGATCTTTCTGATGTGTGTCCATAGTTTCTGAAATACCGATCCTCAGGATACCTGTGTTGACATAAAGCAGTTTTACAGTTGCACTAAAGAGAAGAAGGTGAGAATTTATGTGTGGGATGTTGGGTAGCATGGCTTTAAATGTGGAATGCAGTGGCAAGTTAACCCCTAATCCCTCAAGCAAACTCATAGAGGCCCAAGATAGTTAAAAAGGGAATATCATTTTTTTTTCAGTATTATAGCAATCAACATGATTTACTCTAAAAATAAATACTTCGCTGCTACCAGTAAACCATGACTATATTACAATGCCTTTTATCTTTTTAGACAAAAGCTTTGCGAGGTGGTTATCTTCAACTGCAAAGCAAACGCACTTTCCACTTGGGGCTTTATACCAAACGACCCAGGTTTAATGTTTTCCTATACCTGTTCTGAAAAGAGCTCCTTGTCTCAAAATCTTCAGAGCCTCTTCTAAGTGACCGAGGATATTGTTCATCTTGTATCCTCTGGTGCCTCATTTCATCTTCATGCCACTTTCCTTCGAATCTAGAAGAATCTGCTACTGACCTCTGAGGTGCTTTCCCTCCTTTTTCACTTCCTCTAACTCTCTGGTCACCAGGAATATACCTTCCTTGCACTTGCTGGGGATGATAATTGCTCTGGTGCTCTTTGTAGGCTACACCTTCTGAGTATTGGGGCACGTACTGAGAACCTCTGCTATCATCCCCTCTTCCTGATAAATATACTTGGCGAGGCTTAGATGTATAAAAATCATCTAATGAGTTTCTTCTTATGTTTGGGGAAGGTGATCTAGGCTCATAAGATCGGTAGTGTGCATTTCCACGAAAAGGAATCCTTGCTTTACTCTGTCCATGTTTGTCACTGTCCACTCTCCAAGCAACGGGTCTTTTCGGATCCTTCCTATGGTCATAGTCATAACGCTCATGAGAATGCCTTTGCCTGTAGTATTCAGAATTTCTAGGTATTGGTGATAAAGACCTATGTAAACAAACAGAACAGTTTAGTTCATTTAAAGACAACATAAGTTTGTCTTAACATGACTTACCTAAATAAAATATTTGCTCTTCCACTCAAATTGAATCCATCAAATTGCTTTATCTGTATTCTAAATTGTCCACATAAGGGTCTGATTACGCTTTGTGCCCAATCCAACAAGCATACTCTTTCCATCTGGAATAATATATCCCATGTGCATATCAAAATGGGCTGAGCACACCTGTCCTGTTGGAGGAGGACCAGCTTAGGTACATAGCAGGATCCATTTTGGAAGACTGCTGACAACAAAATTCTGGCAAAAGGGCCAGTTGCCAAGAGCTTACATCAGGTCCTATGGCCAGCTAAGAAATAAGCAGGAGAAGGGATAGACTCGTGCAAATAAATGTATAGGAGAGTCTCTGGCAAAATGAACATAACCTCTGAAATTAAATTAGATTCGAAGAGTATATGAAGCCACAATAAACTCGAACTCAGACCCAAAACTGACTCCACAGTTTTTCCACTTGTCTATTCTCTCTACTAAGACGATATCGAGGAGCAAAAAAATACACACTTAAACAGTGTGTGGAGGTGGGGAAAGAATAGAGTCTTAAGACTCAAATCTCATGCTTAGTTCCTCCATAAATACCAACATAGATAAGTTGCTTTCCTCCCTCGGACCTAGTCCCTCACATATAAAATGGAAGATGTGCTGTTGAAACAGAGCTTGTAACTTCGGTGGGTGTATGCTTTAACACTGCTATAATGCTCTCCAGGGACAGCGCATCCTTCCTAAAACTACCTTCTCCAATACCTCAGCACTGTACTGCCAACACCGAGGCTTTCATTCCCACTGAGGAAGAAGGCTTCTGTATCCAGAGAAACCAGTTAGAGTTGCCTAGAGCCCAGGATAAGAGAGACAAGAGCCACTATGTGGAACACAGTGAAGTTCAATTTTGCACCTGGGACACTTCCTCCCATCCCACCTGTCTAATCTCCCCATCTCCTCCCCGAGGGTTTAATATCTGCTAACCAAAGAGGTGGCTAGCCTTGCAGCTTTTGTTATTGCTCCCTCTTTAGAAGCTGCCACAGAGTTGGAGCAACCATGAGTAAAACTCTTTCCATTTGGTGACCTGTCTGTGTCCCCCTTACAAGAAAGGAGGCAGACTTGGCTTCCTCACGTACATACTGGGATTTATATACTGGATTCAGCAATATCTCCCTCTGGAATCACCGAGCTAGATGTACTGGCAAGTGCATTATTTAGCTGAAGCAGAAGCTCTGTCATCCAGCTGGCTGCACCTCATCACAGGAAGAAGCAACTGGAGCCTTTGAGGACTTCCTGGAAGATTTTGTCTCTTCCACCATTAAGTAGAAAAGCTGTCAGCCAGAGAGGCTGATTTCTTCCAGACTGGACAAAACAGTCGATCTCTTATTTTAATCCATACTTCATGTTGAATACCACTTTGATATTATATTTCGTATCTGAGTTTTATTGAATAGAGGCCCTTTCTTCTGAAGGAGATTGCTGGAACAGTTGCTATCATTTTTAGTTCTCCTAAAGGGACAAAGGAGACCCTAGGAGTCTGTTGGAGACAATTCTCTGTGGGTCTCCTGTGTTCCGCATGCCCTGTGAGCAGAAGCACTAACAGCTTTTGTTTAGATGCAAACAGCCTGGGAAGATAGGAAGATGGAGCTAGCACCTCCCCCAGGGGCAGAGGGCCGGTTTGTTTGCTCTCCAGAATAAGATAATGTCTCTTCCAAGGCAAAAGCCCCTGATCTGGTTCGGTTCCTCAGCTGCATTGTCACCACCTGCCCTCAGGGGGCTGGGGGGAAGGGGAACACAGGAATGGGAAGCTCAGGCTGCCTGCTGTACTATGAGTAACACAGACCTTTGCCTCTGACCCAGCAGGGCCTTGTGACAGGCTAATGTGTTAGCTTGCGAGTAGGGTGAAATATTAATTCTTTACCGTTTTTGACAGAGAGTCCTGAGAAGGATCCTGGAAACCAGGCACTAAGTTTGGCAGGGTCTTTCATGTTCCCTCACTAAGGCCCACCACAAAAGGGTGAAACAAAACGACTTTTGTGCTCCCCCGTCATGTTAAAATCATTCACTTCTTTACATTTCCTCTTTTTCTGAAGCTCCTCCCCATTATAATTTGGTCTTCTAAACTCCAAATTAAAACTGCTGGAGAAATGACGGATTAGTCAATGTAGAACCATAATGAACAAGCATAATGGCCAAGTCATACTAACATGAAAAATTTTGGTCTGCCTTCAGTGTGTGTAATTATGGTCCTTTTTAACATACCAGTCACTTTCACAGCTCTGTACCTTTGCTCCTGCTGTCCTTAATTGGAATACTTTTCTTCTCTTTCTACCTTTAGAAATTTTACTCATTCGTAAATGGCTGGCTAAAATCTCATCTCTTCCTAAACCACTTACTGTTGCAAAACATGTAACACTCTCAAAGACATTCCTTACTCTCTCTTGCTGTGGTCATGGCATTTCTTTATATTATGAATTAATCCTAGCTGCCAGCTATAATTAAAGAAAGCTGTCAGCTCCTAGAACCTAGAAATATAACCTCTATCACTGTAAAGCACCTACTGTGAGTAACCAAGTCCCATGAGCTTATCAAAACAGGTTCTTAACAGTACTTGTGAATCTGAAAGTCGAAGTACATCCTAAATCCAAGCTTGCTCTACTAAACTAAGAACTGCTCACCTGGGTTTCCACCTGGGCGATCTAGAGTGAGACCGTGCCATTCTTTGACACGTGAGCCACTATCCACTTTTTACACTGCAAAGAAACACAGTATTAGCAAGTTTGTAGAAAGAGCCTGCAACCTCCTCTAAAAACAGTGAATGCTACAGACAAAAAGTTACTTAAGCCCTCTGTGCTTCAGTTTACTCATCTGTAAAATGGAGATGATAATAATAGGACCTACCTTACTGGAATGTTGTGAGGTAAAAATGAATTAAATCAGGAGTCAGCAAACATTTTCTGTAAAGGGCCAGATAGTAACTATTTGAGACTTTACAGGCCATATAAGGTCTCTATGCATCTTTTTCTTCTTTTTTATTAAACAACCTTTTAAAAATGTAAAAACTATTTTTAGCTCAAGGCCCCACCGCCCCCATATACACACAACAGGCCCCAAATACCAAATGCAGTGTAGCTTTATGATCTCTGAGCATGAGAAGAGCTTAGAATACTGCCTCACAAACAGCAACTGCTAAATAAAGGTTCCAAAAAAAGGAAAAAATTACCCAGAATTCTTCTCTCTCAACACAACCACTACTACCCGCCTGTCTTTCACCAGGTACATAAACATTTCATACAATCACAGTCAACGTGTTTAGGAACACTTGATGATATCTCCTGCTTTTTAAATGGTTGGATAATAAGAATTACAATGCCTAATTATAGTACTCAATTGCTACCTAATTTCCACCAGATAAATATACTGAAACTTAATTAAGCATGATTAGACATTTAGCTTGCTTCTGATTTTTTTTTTGCCAAAATAAATAATGTCAAATAAGCAAATTTTAAAAGACACATAAACTTGATTTTTAAAATATTCTTCAGTCTTTAAAAGAAACCGATAGCTTTAGGAACTGAACTTAAAAATACATGATTAGGGTATAATCTTCTATACTAGATATTATTTACATTTTAGTAATCCTTCTCAGTTCTGATACTATAATTAACTAGTTCCCAACCTACTGGCCCCAAACCCCTGGTGGCTTTCAAAATTATTACCATAGGTCCATGAATAATACATATAGCAACCATGCACAAACTACATAACACAGATCTCATATATTATAATCTCTATTTTGCAAATTTCTGAAGCCACTGTGGTGATTATTGAAATATAAATGTTTTCTTGCCACTATATGTAGTTTTTCCGCTGACTGATTCAAAAAGTACAACTGTTAATATGCGGACATCATTTTAAAAAGAGAGTCGAACATTTGCAAACTATCGTTAAAATGAATTTCATAGTCGAACATTTGCAAACTATCATAGTCGAACATTTGCAAACTATCGTTAAAATGAATTTCAGAAGAAAGTAAAAGTATATAAGGTCAAAGGACTTGAACCAGATCACTTATCAGAAGTACATTCAATTCATTTAGTTATAACACTGCTTCTTTGCAAAAAAAAGAATTTGAAGCTAGTAAGAACAATTAGTTCAGATGTACTATGCAATTAAGACACTTAAGGCGAAAATGTTTACTTAGTAACTAGAAATATCAAAATGCATTCATTCGACAGATGTTACTGAGCACCTATTTTTGCCAAGCACTATGCTGGGGATACAGCAGTGAAGAGAAACATGCAAAAATTCCTGCCCCCTAGAGCTTACATTCTTTTGAGTGCGCTTGTAATTTAACCAAAGAGGCTCTTGGTATCAGTTCATCAATTTAATTTTGTTCAATTAAACTGAACAAATAATGAACC